AGGCCTATCGCCCTTTCTTTCCGGCATTCTGAGCTGCCATGAGGTATCCGTGTGAAATTCCCGATACAGGATTCATTTGCCAAAACAGACAAACTTGAATCGCACTAGCGGTTCCAAATGGAGATTTTATAAGATGCAAGTTTCTAATGGGAGGAAGACAGTAGAAAGCACAACCAAGGGTACCGCATCGACAGATGGACTTATGCCTCTGCTCCATAGTTCCCAAGTGCTCATAAATCGCGGCAAGTGACTGCGGTGGGTTATAAAAGAGCCTGTAGCAACTGCTGGTAGCCTAAATCGCGCAAACGACATCGTTTTACAACGCTGAATCCATGAATTTGGTACCTACCTAGGTCCTGAGTACTCGACTTCGGAATGGGATAACAGGAAGCGATCCGAGGAATTCGCTGAGCTTGAGGTAACGCTTTTCTTTTATTTCTTCCTGGTCACCCGTTTCAGCTTCCCTACTGGATCGAGGAGGGTGTGAGGTTGTGTGGGACTGCACCAATTCTGGAGCACATCGCCGATAGGCACAACCTGTGTGAGTTGAATAGAATCGCTAATAAGGACTGTACTAAGCTACCACTACCAAAAACTACGCTGAAGGAATGATTTAAGTGCAACATGTAGAGACAATGGGCAGATAAGTTTTGTTCTTCCTCAGAATACACGAGGTTAGGACACGAAGAAGGAATCGAATACCTTTTTACAGGTTCTTCCAGTAGGATATCCTTAAGACCCATTGACGTGCTTTTCTGCACTCGCTGTAAAGAAACAAATTGCGTCTTGTTCCAGATGGACTCTGCCTTCCCCACCATTCTAACATTTAGCTCTTTTGCAAGTAGACAGCTTCAAAACAACAATTTCTCTCAAGTGCAATGAAATTTAAGTAATCACCACCTATCGCATTCACACCGTTCAGCTTTCTCCAGCACCTTAAGCAAGTGAATAGACCCGGCAATCGCTACTTATAATCATTTAAGTAAGCAATGAGGAAGAAACACAGCTTTTTGATTTAATTGAAGAGCCTAAAATTTGCCAGAATTGCTGCCGCACCAAGGCTTTTCCCGTCTCGTCATCTCCTCCCATTTGTGACTAAGGTTACCCAGCAGAGCTCGAATCCTTAAAATCTGAAGCAGCCTTTTATGTGCTAGTCATAGCCTTGCGAAAGACTTTGCTGATGTTACGAGTTGTTTGTGATACAATCCAAAGGTGTTTTCAAATTTCATATCCGTTGGTCTGATTAATTAATACCTCAATAATTTTAGTGCCCTCGGACAGGCATACACGATCCCGGCTGCGCAAAACGCAGGAGGAAATTGACAAACTGAGGGGGGATTTTGAAGGCCTCTGCTATGATGAGGAGTGGGTAAGCGAGTAACTAACTGCCTCGCTCTACGAGCAGTGCGCGTGTCCACCTCCTCACCTTTTCTGCTTTTTTTTCCCTACGAATGCCAGGAGACCAGAAAACCGCGATTTCTGCGCGCGATCCCCCAAAAGTTGCACAGCCTCTCGTCTATTCTACGAAATAGGAATTGGATTTCCGGAAAAAAGGTTACCCTCTTTGAGGGACAAACAACTTTTTAAGCTTGCTATAAAAGTAGATTTTAAAGGTGCTGTGGTAATTCGCATAACCAATCCAGAGTTTTTCGATGAAATTGTTTTCAGCAGCCGCATGGTGCGGGGTGGGTCACTTGACTACGAGAATGGCTCATTGTGAGGCAAAGCGATTGCATTTGTGATGCCAAAAGGCCTTAGCAAGTGGGAAATGCCTTTTTTTTTTTAGCATAGTCCCCTACAGTCTCTATCCAGTCATCCCCACGTTTAACTGATATCTGCATAGAAGGAGGTAACTGAAAAACATCGCTTCAGGGATTGCCACTAACTCATCATTTTAAGAAGTCACGGGCATTAAATTAGATGTTGTGTCTGGTCTTTCAAGTGCTCTACAAATTGCGGTTGAAATCCCCTCTACTGCCAGCCATGTTGCATGCTACTTATAAACATATAAGTAGCGTGCGTACTCTTCAAGAATATAAATATTACAAGATGGCTTTGCAGCCTTTTGGACCCTCCTTGAAGTGGTAATAAGCCGGAGTAGTGCGGGAGACGACTTATTACTAAAGTACGGGAGAGCCGGGGGGCAATCAGTATGACCCAGAAGCCAACACCATTGAGGTAATGTACAACCTGTGGAGATTGAAGTGCCATAGATCATGCTTGTCGTTTTTTTTTCAAGTTCTTAAATCATATTTTAGTTAAACTACCCTGACTTCAACTTATACGATCTGCTCGACATGTTGGTGACCTTTGCGCCCGATTGTCTCAGACAATTTGAAAATCTGGAGAACTTTATGCTGCGCTTCGAGGTAAAATCTGTGTACCAACAAAAGCTCTAAGTGATAATGTAATAGTGCATAGTTTGTAAACTGTTAACGAATACTTCAGGGTTTACAAAGTGTGAAGGCCTACATAACAACGGAGAAGTTCAAAAGTCGGCCCTTCTTCTCTCCAAAAGCTTTCTGGAACGGAGGTCAAAAATGAAATTTTATTCAAAAAATAGCATTGTTTTTTTCCCCAAATTAGCCGGTTTTGTTAGAGACACGGGATGCAAGTGCGCTGGCAAATAACGACATCTCCCTAACAACTTCTGGCACAGGCACACAAAAGATAATTGTTGAACCAGATTAGTATGAGCCTAATAAGGCTAATGAAATAGTTGGGACTACTTAAGAATCAGCAGGGAAAATGAAGGTATTAAAGCATATTCTGAGCAGTAAAGTGTGGGATTAGAGATAGAGATTACCTTCAAATGCATTTATAGAAAGCTTTAATGCAACATTTTGCAATACAAAGAATTCCGATTGACCGCTTTGCCCAATGACCTGTGTAATTTCACCTCAAAAAATGATGTACCTTTTCCGGTGAGTGGGACAACAGCACTAAGTAACCTGCCCGCACCAAGCACCGGATTAAAGCAGAGCAATATCAGCATTAAAAAGGCATTTAACAAGGCTGCTACCTAATCCAACTCAGTTTTTGACTTCCTTGTTGGCAAAACCGGAAGGCCAAGCAGACGATGTAGAGGCCGTAGAGAAAACCCCATGTACCTAGTTGCGTACTTAGCTTAAATGCAAAGCGACTGCACAACCAAAATACGAATATGTGAATTTATTGTGCTGTTTATTAGAAGGGGTATTTCCGATATAATGAAAAGTGATTTAGATAAGGGACTCCTGCTTTAGTAATTTCCAGCAAATTTGGAAGCAGCGCAGTTTTTACTTCTATTAAAGCAAGACTGTGCCTAATCAAATCATCATTAATCACCTTTTAACAAATTTATGTCCCTAAAATAATTACTTCTAAAAGTTTAAGTCGTCAAAATTGTGCTCTGATTTGCTGTTCCATGGGCGACCTTGGAAGGAAGCACATATTTAAGTGCTAAAGCAAAAGGTGGTGTCCTAACGATGACACCCATTTTGGGATATTGGAAAAGTCGCGGGGTTAGCGTACTTGAAAAAACGCATTTTTATATGGCCCCAGCCCTCTTTTTTCAATTGCTTATGGATGTTCCCCATAACTGCAATAGTACTATTTCTTTCTATGTAGGAAAACATTGCACTTTTTTATGCAACAATAAACAGCCTGTGTGTCTTGAAATATTGTAGCTATAAGAACCTTAATGACCATTAAGCTTTGTGCCTTGCTTAACTTCTGATATGCCATCGTAGCTAGGGCAGCAGATTCGACTGCTGCTTACCTACTGCGGGGAGAAATTTGATCAAGAATTCTATACTGCTGGTCCAGGTACGTTTTGCATAGCCTTGCTCGCATAAGTTTATAGCACCTGACTTCTCAAGAGAACAGTGGTTGTCAAAGAAAAACAACCTTGGACTTGATTTTCCAAATGTAGGCACCCTACTCGCGTCTCTAAAAATTTTTAATTTAGCTTCCTTACTTTGTTGATGGGTCGCTCAAACTAACCCAATCAAGTGCAATTTTGCTGTATATCGCTGACAAACACAAAATGCGTAAGTTGGTTTGTCGTAAATATGTCAAAATCCTAAGACATTATTAGGTATTTGAAAAGAAATGAAATTGAATCCGATCCTTACAAAAGTATACGAATTCCACTGTAATGAATGAAAGGCGAAAGAATTTATCAAGAGATATATGTATATTTTAAATTAATGCTTTCACGAAATAAAGGTAAAATATTTGAATTTTGTATCCATTGCTCCAAAAAGTCCCCAAGACACCAGAAGAGCGTGCCACGCTTTTGATGGTTCATCAAGCGGCGATGGATATTCGCAACGGCTTCTACCGCCTCACCTTTGGACCCGACTACGTAAGCTTCCACTTGTTTGGTTTGCCAAGCTTGCTAAGGTGCCATAATAAGTTGCATCAAACTGCAGGAGAAGAATAGGGTGGAGTACATGAAAAACCTTCCCAATGAAATAAAAAGCCTGTCCGACTACCTCGGAAACAAGAAATTCTTTTCCGGTGATCAAGTAAGTAAACCAACTCTTATCACAGACCAATTTTCTTACATTAAAACGTTTTAACTGTAAACATGCTTTTCGACTAAAAATCTACTAAATTTGTCAAGCAGAGCGATCCCAGATAGTGATTACTTGGGCTTTCATAGCGGATTTATTGAGGCATACAAAAAAGCAGTTTCAAAAGGATAGGGTAGCATTATAAGAATGTGAGGGAGGTACTTGGTAGATCCTTAAGGGATAAGCAAAGATCAAAGGGTGGTGCAGTATCAAGGCCGATCCTCGTTCCAAACCGCCCAGGAGGTTAGTCGGCAATTTACGACGTTTTGGCATATTAGGTGGAAAAAGTCATCTCTAAAGCCAATTTTCGCCCGCTAGTCCTTGTAAGCAAAATTTAATCGCCTTTTCCCTCCCAACGCTAGTCCGTTCCAATTGATAGAGAGAGATGTTCTTGCATCTTGATCTCGACCTATCTCACTTGATCGGAACGCTTAGTGTCATCCTGAATGTAATGCTTGTAGATTCGGTCGGTTCATCACCAAAATCACGCCTCAAAACATTCCTCAATCTTACCTTTTGCCGCCAGGTCTTTCCAAACGCCATACAACTGATCGTACAAGAGGCTTTTGCAGTTTTAGGAACAAGGCAAACTCAGGTTCTAAAGCAGAAATGCTTTAAACCCACTTATTAGAGGTAGGGGAAAATAGTACAAAAAGAATACTTATGATACAGTTTATGAAGCCAAAAAAACCTTGGGTGTTTTGTAAATGTCTGGAAATGACATAAAGTCCTATGCGAAAACTGGTCCGAATAATTTTAACCATCCCACGTCTCAGCAAAACCACAAATGCTTTGCTACACTTTCTTCTTGAACTACGGAAAAATTTGGCAACTTTTAAAGCGTAAAAGACTAACTAAATCGGAACAAACCCCGGGTCTTGATAGGTGTTTGAATAGCGGCTAGGTGTTTAAATTTCTCAAACAGCGGGTTTAAACATATGGGAAGGGAATTGTGTTAAATCACATGAATCATTTTAGCATGCTTGATTTGCCTTAAAAAAATTACTTCGAGCATTTGCAAAGTCATTTTATGTTATTTCATCCGACTTTATAATTTTTTGTGAACAATTTATAGTATTTAATAAACGATTCATCTGCCTTATAATCACCAAAGTAGCCATATTATTAGTACTATACATGCATGTCCTTGAGACCAAAATTACGTTTAACAATATTTAAAATGATTTTTAGAATCAACAACACACTTTTGTTAATGTCCGAAAATTTAATGGTGTCGCTACCCTAATGGATTGGGCGTGGCTTGAATCAAGGTGGGAGGGGAAGAGAAGGCGAGAGAAGGGGATAAGATGAGAAAATGGATCCCTTTCATGTGAACCCTTGCCTTAGTTGAAACAAAATTAAAGTATTACAGATACGCCCATCCATCCAAACATTCACTCACTTAAGTACACGCATTTACATGAGGTCCAAAATTGGTACCTCCTGGACTGTCGGTAATGGGCACTTCATTCTCCCTGTCCAAAACTTTACTTGTGCATTAGTGAAGCAGTTATAGTCGGGAGTAATTAAGCAAAGATGTTTATAGTGGGTATCCCATTTTAGTTAGTTCTAATTCTAAGTCGACCCAAATAATCGGCGCAAATACCTCTGCACTTATTGACGCGAGTTGTATTTTGTCGGTAAGATGGAACTTGCCTCCCCATATTTGTGGACAGATATGCAGATGACTGTTTTTAATTTCGCTGCCATATGAGCCTCCTCGTCACTCGTGCATGGTATTAGCCCTTTGTCAATTTTGATAACTGAGGCTCCACCAAACTGTATTACAAAGTGGCGGAGTTTTCAAAAATTAGCATGTCTTATAAACTTTTTTGAAGTGAGGTTATCTGTCTTTTCATATTTTTAAAGTTTATACACCAAAAGAGGAAGTGATCAAAATGCTTCTCATTGCCGGCCTTTTGATCCTTCACCGTTAGGTTAACTACCCAGACTTCAATATCTACGATTTGCTGATCGTTCTAGAAACCTATGCTCCACAGTGTCTGGACAACTTTGGCAATCTACGAGCATACATTGCTCGCTTTGAGGTGACCGAGTCCTTTTGCTTACCTACTTTCTGCTCCAGATTAGTTGGTAAAATTTAATGAATCCTGACTTCTAACCTTTTAGAGCATTCCAGCCATCAAGAGGTACATGAGCTCCTCCGATTACATTCATAGACCCTTCACCAACACAATGGCGCACTGGGGCTACTATTTCGACTGAATGATCCTTAACATGCTTATTTGTTGTCTTTTTGTCTTGATAAATCCACCTTTGTTCTCTTTTGTCTGTCATATCTGAAGCGTAGAGGTAAAGTAGCTTATTATAAGCTGCTCGTTCTCCTTGTCTCTACCTTGTGGGGAAGTAGCAATTCCACAGTAAGACAGGGTCCATGTACGTACAATCGGGACAATGGAATTTCAGGTGGATGGTTGAAGTCATGTCATAAAAATAGGTTTGTGCACTGGTGGTTGACTTCTTCATTCAGTAGGTGGAAATAAGGATTGAAAGGAGGCTTTAAGTTGGTGCTGCCAAGTAAAAGACTGCGGTATACCTCTGTCTTTAGGAGCGAGAATAGGATCCTTCATGACTTTAGATCAGAACTGCGTAGTGTCAAGGGAACCACTTTCCATCCACGGTGCAGACTGCCAAAACACCACTTTGTCTAAAAAACTGGTACGTTAGGGGGTAGGAATTCTTTCTCTTCCCTTCCCACCGCCCGCTAGTGATGCATTTTCCTTTACATCAGGCTGTCTTTTTACGACTGAAGTGAAGATTCGAGGCGCTGCACACTCCCATCTCTGCTGGAGGAGATGAACAGTCTAGCCGACAAAATGCTCAAAGAAGAGGTCGCAAGTCCCTCTGAACTATTATGGGCCTCACAAAGTGTGTTGGACATAGAGAGGTAAGCTTAGTAGTACGGCACAAATTTTATCTTTATGGTCGACCCTAGATCGTGATAATGGCAAGTAAAAATAGTGTAAGCAGACAAGGGAGCTTCATGATGCCCAAGAGGATATACCGATTTCGGAAGCTGTCCCTTAGGCTCTGCAAGGCTGCGGGCGTTTTCAAAGCTTTAAAACAAATGCTATGATTTGCCAACTTTTTTAATTGTAAACCCAGTATCCTTAAACAGTGCATCTGCTTTCAGTAGGGATGTGCAGGAGCTTAAAATCCACATGAAAATGGAGCCAGACCATCCACAAGAAGTAGGCTGAACACCGAGTTCAAACAAATGATAGGCTTTGCAGAAACCGGTAAAATTTTGGGAACTTCATCCTCACTAGACGCAGTGGTGGTTGGTGACAACCATTGCGAAGCTGGAATATTGACTATTATTTTTGTTATCTAATATGAAAGCGGCAACCCAGTCGACACCAGGGTGTACATTGCCACACCGAGAAGAAACGCAAGAGGTTTTGACCTCGTGCCTGATTAGTTAAAGCCGTTTTTTACTAGATGAAAGACATATTGTTAGAGGCGCAGCCAGCCTAAATGCAATCAAGAAGGAGGACTAGTGGAGTTCAGTAGAACCGTTCCATCTTTCTGCGTTCATAGCAAGTCTCACTACTCCAGGAACAAAGCAGTTTTTCAGGTGACAAAAGCCATTTCATCAACGGAGTGCATTACTTTGTCTGCAATATTCGGTCTATTACTTAATCACTCGAGGCGCGTCATAATAAATTTTGCCCTCGCAAAACATACCACCGTTTGAATGCAAATATGGGGTCTGTACGCTAATTGAAGATGACGATGACGAGGTTTTCATGCAGAGCATGCTTGTTGACCATACCTTTTTGTTGCGAAAGGGCAGATTGCACCAGCTTCATTTTGGAGCAGAAGTCACTGATTACAAAGGCGAACAACACTGACTCCCTTAATCTGCTAACCTCCCCACTACACAATAAATAATAGGTCATTCCCGAGTCAATCTCCTCAAACCAAAAATATGGGACCAAAAGTGAGTTATGAGAAACAACGGGAACGTTATGGCATGCAGGACTGTGTTTTCTATTCAATAAATATAAGTATAAAGCATATGGCGTTTAGAGCGGGTGAAACACAGCCCATGTATGATTCCTGGTAGCCTCGTGTAATACGATGGTGGTTTATCCCTCGGTTCCGGTGAGGCGCCACTTTTGTACTTCGAATTAGCCCTCTTGTACCTCGCTGGGTGGGCTGGCCTTTTGGGCCATGCCAATAGCCCGGACACATTCTCCGTGCTGAATATATATATTCTGCCCGAGTATTGTGTCTTCTTTCGTCTTAAGGGAGTCTCGGGACGCTACACTCGTAGGCAGAAAATACTACAAAATGATAATTGCTTTGGTGCAGGATTAAAAAATGCCTACTTAAAAATTAATTTAAATTTCCTCTTAGCAGAAATTTGCGTGCGGATGGAGTGGTCCTGTTCCGCAAAATATAAAAGACCCCTTTTAATCAATAATATCACTAAATGTTTTGTTAACAGTCGAAAACTACTTTAATATTTGCTCTAGGATCAGTATTTGAAAGGATTTATCATTTTAAAACTCGATCTGTAACTAAACTGGTGCACATGCCCTAACTCAGCAGATTTGGTCACTTTACTTTGGTTTTTTTAGAAGTATATATAATACTCTAATTATTGCATTGGTTTTTAATAAAATGTAAGTTTAGAGTCATTTATTTAAATTTTTTTGTTTTGTTTTACCAACCGAAAAGCAGATCTCAATATTATGGACGCGGGTATTTAAGGTGCGTGAAAACCCAGCATAGTTCACTCTACACACAAGACGAGGATGACAACTGCTCGCGGTCATGTAGACTACGGTTATGGTCCGACCAACGGTAAGAATTTTTCAATGGATAACAATTTTAGGCCCCCACACCTGGTGTTTAACATGCCATGCTGCTGCCGGAGCAAGGCAGTCGCCGATTAACATTATAAGGCACAATTGCATCTATGACTCCAAGCTCTCTCCACTTCGGCTGTTCGTGTTTCACAATAGCACTCAGCTTTTTACACGTAAAACGCATAATTTTCAAGTCTCATTCAAAAGTAGTAATGGTGAGCTTCTTACTAGAGCCACTCTTGATGTGTTTGAGTTTTATCATACACAAAACTTGGATCTATATTTTTTACCTGATTCAGCCACAACAATTGAAGGGGGTCCTCTGAAGGGTAAATATAACCTTCAGCAATTCCATTGTCATTGGGGATGCGAGGATGAATGGGGATCAGAACATCACGTTGATGGCCATAGCTTTGCTGGTGAATTGCATTTGGTCTTCATGAGCGAGAAATATTCTACCATGGACCAGGCTGTCAAAGACTCTGAAGGTCTTTGTGTCATTGGTGTTTTCCTTAAGGTGACCTTTCCTTCCTAATTCATTAATTTACACGGCTGATGTTCTGTTTTAAATGCCTATACCCTTAAACAATGGCAGGCCGATCGTGTGGAGTGTGAGGCAATGAGGCCACTTATCTCCGCCATCAAGTCATCAAAACCCAGTTGTGAACAGCCCATAGCAGATGAAGTAGATCTTCACTCACTCATTCCAAGTAAGCATCGTGTGCTACTTAATTTATCTTTTGCTCAATTCTGTTGCTTCTGCCCCTTCTGTTCCTGGATCCTGGTCTTGCTGCTGCATGCAATACTTGAAGGTATTTGGCTCGATCATCCCAAATGCCTACTATACCGTTTCCTGCCTGCTTAATCTTTGGTTTCCTTACTTTTCACCCCATGCTCAGCAATCTAGTGCAGCGTTGGGAAACGACATTCCCTTTGTTTGGTCTTCATCAGTTGATAAACAATTGGCGACTATCAGTACAATCCTGCTGGGTGAAGACGATTACAGATAAAGGAACTATCCACCAATTGAATATACTTTTGAAAAGATACATTTAATTCATATTTGAGCCCCTGGTTGAACCCTCTTCATAAATAGTGCACAGTGCTAACAGTACTCGATAATCACCGGATCATGAATACCAAAATCTCAATAAAGACTTGACCATTTGTCACTGTTCTTCCACCTTTAAAATTAAACTTACAGGCATGGATCACTACTTTACCTACGAGGGATCCCTCACAACACCACCTTGTGCCGAGTGTGTTCGTTGGATTGTCTGCGCCGAGCCGCTGAGACTTTCCAAGGACCAGGTTCGTCGTTTGTCTCTTTGTCCTTTTCCCAAGGCTTTTCCAATTAAACCTGGGCTGTAAGGTTTCTTAGAGCTAGTGTCAAGGGTAGTGCGACAGCAATGTGAACTCAACTGATTTATGCACGCCAATTCATGTGTGCCATTCATAAGTCTCTGCGCAAAATTATTTTGCAGAATATTAATTTTCATATGCTAACTGTGCATTACGAACTATTTTAGCCGGGAAAAATTGACTGCAAACTGCTCCAAATGACAACGTAGAAACAGTGATAAATGGCCGAACTAATTGGTCGTGACTGGTTTCACCACTGTCGAGATTACATGTTTTAGGCAGCAGCAAATATCACTGTAACCGTTGTTCCTCCTTCTTTTTCTATTGTTTAAATTCAAATTAACCCTATGGAAATTTCCATACAATGCGCTAAAGAGCTTGGCTGAATGAAAATCCAGGCTTCCATTCTACTATGTTGTGTACTGCTTTGGTTTTTTTGTTTCCTGGGCCACGCAAACAATGGCGGTTATTGCAAAAAATACGGAAGCAGATTTCACGACGATGACATACCGTTTGGTTATAGTGGAGTTAATTTTATCCAAATTTCTCATACACTATGAAAAGTCGAAATTTTGGCATCACATGCTACTCAAATGGCCTGCTTATTACCCAGATTGTTGACAAACTCGTCTAAAATTTTAAAATTCCTGTTTTAAAGTATTTACTTGGTTTTATTAATGCTAATAAATATTGGTAAGACATAATTGTTGACCAGCTTGATGACTTTTCAAGTGAATTCACTCTTTGTAGCTTTGACTTGCCACGTTGATTATAGGGGACGATGAGGAGGTGGTGTCGTAGGGACGTTATTTTTAACACCTTTACTAGTTTGGAGTAAACTTTACGTGCTAACAAGTAATTACTTCAACGTGTAGACTTCCTCCTATAAAATTGTGTTTAACCGCTTTCGCGTCGGTCATCTCAAGTGTAAGTGTGGAGACTGCTATTTACAGATAGGTAGGCAGAGAGACAGGCATTTGCCTCACTTTTACACATTGAACAGCTTGATGTTATTTGCGCTGCAGATGTAGCCATGCCTTATTGTAGCCTCCATACGCCTCCCTTTTATTCTACGCTCAACGCATGATCCATCCGGATTGCTAAACTCGATCCCTCCATTTCTCACGTTCCTCGATTTACTTCAATTTCCCCTTTGGGAAACTTGGTAATGCTGATGATGATGAAATTTCAGTGACCCCATTTGTGGATTGGTTCATGCTAATTTGAGAGGGCCTTTTTTAACAGTTGCCCTGAGTAATTCAGGAAACTCTCTTGACTGTCTGAATTCTTCTTCCTCTCCCATCCAATCAGCATGTGCTGGCATTTGTTTTTTGAGCGGGATATCGGTTAAGCAAAGTGTCGCCGGGTCTACGACCTTGGCGGGTGCTAGCGCTTTCCCTCGACTGCATGCCAAATGCGTTCTCATTTCAAATTCCAGGTGTGTAACCGACTTGGCAATGGCATAAAACATTTTCCACGCAACAATGCCTGACTCCATTTTGGTACAACTTGTTTTAATCAGTGGATGAAGTGGTTGATTCCGTGCAACATTCACACAACCCTAATGAAACCGCTTTCGAAGTAATTTGCTACCTTTGAAGACGCTATGAAATGTCATAATTGAATAGACCATCACTTATTCATGTACAACCGGAGCAATAGTACAGTGCACAAATATAAAGCCTCGCTTACTCCTCGTTTTTCACGCCATTGACCTTGACCCTAAATTGAAAATTGAAAGGTGATCATAAGCAGCTCCCGAATGACACGTTTTAGTCTTACCATAAGGAAATTTCTGTTTTGACAATTTTTGACCGTCAAATGCTAAATACTTGAGAAGTAGGGGGTTAAAGCTTGACATCACACCGTTACTAGAGGTCATTTTGAATAGATTTTAACATCTGCTTTCTCTTGAATACTTCCAGATGCTTTTTTTGTCAAAGCAATGAACTAAGTTTAAATTCAGGCAATAGAGGTGATTGTATCTGTGTTGCCATGATCCCCTTTCTACCCTGCTGCTTCGATCCGCTGTAGGTATGGCAAGGTGTCAGTAGCATTCTGATTGGCTAATTTCCCCTGTCGAGCAGCTCGCCCGCGAAGTAGGTCAGGACCTAACCACGGGCACATCACCTAACCTCTCACGGCTTTTGTATGAGGAAAAGGGAGGGATAGAAGGGCTAAGTTCACTCCGGCTAGTCAGCCAGCACATTCTTCGCCTTAATGCAACTCTCTCTTTTTCCTCAAAGCTGTAGTTATGATTCACGATAGGAATTCCTAACTCCTGACTGCTTTTCCAAATAAACGCTTATTCACGATGTAGTCTTTAGAATTCTCCCTTCTGATTTTTCTGCAACTGTGTGAAGTTTGAAATGCGTTGTAACCAGGACAAAAAAGACGATGACTCTAAAGCAGCCTACTTGTTTACATGTACTTCGGGACTGTTTAGCCTCTCGACGCACATAATTTCGTACACATTTTGGCTATGACTTTCCACACCGGTTAACTAGCGTTTTAGTTTTCTGGGATGGCACTTTTGTCTTTGCAAGTGGTTTACAATGGGATGGGGAATCCTCTGGTGAGTGATCACCTGAATCCAGAGCCAGCACATCTGGAGGTGAATTGCATTTCTCCGACGTTTCTCTCTCCTATGGCTGTAGATGAGGTCAGCAGGCTGCTAGGTGAAGCAGGCGCAAATTTAAAATTGTTTTCTGATAGATAGAAAAGTAAACATGAATGAGACACAACCTTTGGAGGTGGACTTATGACCCGTCTACACGCCATGATGTCAAGTCCACTCAACCGGTCTGGCCTAGTGAATAGACGAGTATCGATCTGTCCAGACAAAAGAATTGTCAGGAGTGAACTGTCTTACCTTCTCGTTCATGGTGTCGCATTGTACCTCATGAAAGATTTGGACGACTATTCCAAGTGGCAGGACTGGCCTACCTTTCCACCAATTAGTTCCTTTCCTTCGTAATCCATCAGAGCGTCCATCCTCACCCCTCTTGCATCCTTCACATTCACCGAATCAGTATACCCTATCTTCATCCCGGTAGTAACGGCCTCCCGCTCTGGATTTATCGTTCCTTCCTCCTATTCATCATTTATTCACCTTTTCTGATTTCGTACAGCTCGAATCTCTTCACATTTCAGCTGGCTGCAATGCGCTCGATGCACTCATGCGAGTCGTGCAATACAACGGACAACTTTCGTCCACCACTACCCGTGGGCAAACGTCAGGTGCTTTGTTCATTCCCACTGCAGTGAGATGAAAGCGCGTCTTTACTTCGCCACCAATCCAACTTACTTGTCATCTCCGCCTTTTTGATCGTCTCGCCTCCTTACCCCACCCCACCTCCCCCGAGGCAAAAGATTTCTCGGTAAATTTTCTCCACGCACATACACCTCCATGCAAAATGCACAAAAAGGTGAATAAAGGGTGACTCCCGCCATCGGATTTGAATAATTTTGTCTGAAGTTGGGTGGGAAGGTATGAGATCAACTTAGGCCTCTCACCTTAGCTGTCACCACGACCAAGGGCATCCGAGTTTGGTACGTTCGGGTACTGATACGCCTATTCGCGATCAGTTAGTCAGGAGATAATAGGAGCCACAAAATTCTTCCCGTGGAAGTGTCTGGCATATTTCTTGGCAGAAGGGTCAGTGGTTACTCCATCCGCGGTAGGCATGCTTCTATGATTATTCGGATGCTATCTCTCATGCATGTCATGCCCTTGCGCCTTGGCAAATTGAAAAACCCGCGAGGAAACTTGTTGATGCATCTTGAATGTTTTGGGAAGTAAATTTCTTGGCAATTGATCGATGAGCCAACATCTGGAAGCATCATGCGGCCATCTGAATGGCGCGGCACGATAACGTAGTCCAAGGTGTAGGGACTTTATATGCAACGTCAGTCTCTCGCCAATTTTTGTTGTGCGTTATACCCTTTACCAGTGCTCTAGGCCTCTGACATTATGAAGTGTCATCAGAACCTGATGGATCAGAATTTAACTTACCCGCTTTTTCGAGACCATTTTAATTTGGTTTCCAAGCTGCCGAAGTTTCTCGTGCACCTTGCATGGCGTTGAGTGAGGGTGCGGTGCGCGTTGCTGTTCAATATTTCTCCAGACATTCTAGGAGGTCAAGTTGGCTCATATCAAGCAGCGGTGTGATCTGTGTGCTGGCAACCAGTCAAAGGTCGAGGTTAGCCAGAACCTGTAAACAGATGCGGATGAAATTAATGACTCACTCGGATACACATTTGGTTTCCGACATTCTCGCCTAGACAGCCATTAGGCTTGCACACACAAGTCCTACTTCTGTGCTTTCTCGGTTTTGCAGGTCAGCGAAGGCGTCCACTTTGAAGACTTTAGGTCACATGAAGTAGTCAGACGCTGTCATTCGTACTCACTCCCACATGCGTCATTTCCAGGTCCCTGCATGAGTGCAAATGTGGTCATTTAAGGGACACTGTGAACCTCTACACCCAGAGCGTCTTGGCCTATAGTCTCTTCGAAAAGTGAGTCCTCCACCTACCTAGGTGATCAGTAGCACTAAATGATGGAGAAGGAAAATCTTGGTGTGCGATTTTCGTCAAGCTGGGACTTTTGGGCTGATACCGACAAGGAAGGCTTTGTCAGCACAGCGGAAACAGTCTAAAGCACGACCAAGACCATCACAGGCACTTGCACCATTCAAATTCCCGACTTTGAATAAGCATTCAATCATAGTAGAACCTTGTTTGAATTCCCCAGTAGGAGCAGGTATCCGTGGTTTCAAAGGCAAGAATCTTCTTTCATTTTCACGTCAAGTCGAATTTAAGCACCCCTTACTACTGCCACTCGGCGTCTTGATTAACAGTGCCCGGACTGAACTGGACAGTGGTGTTAAGGCAGGTGTGCTGTCTATTACTGGGGCAGCGTGACCGACTTATTACTTGCTTTTCATTGTTGTAAATTCTGCATTCGCCGTTTGGAAGAAGAGAACTTTTAGAATCCTATGGCAGAAATCCGAAGTTGCAATTCTTTAGTAGACACCAAGTGCTCTCGCAGTCTTCGGTAAAGTCTGAATAGCTGAGTTCTAGACCTTGGTGCATTAATACCCCGCGTGAGGTGACTTCTTGGTGTTTCAACAACCTTTGAAAGGCTCGTTGCCTGAGTTGTGATTATAGGAGGCGTTTCTCACGATTGAATGTCTGCAGGAGCAACTGATATGGTGGCGAGTTGGAGACCACCGATAAGCGTCCTCGCCGTGACGGGAGGTTGTGAGTGTCCTCAAGGAATGTTGATTGATAGGTCAAGGGGGTCAATGCGCATTTTTTTCTTGCATTTTGCGTGGCACCGTCACGACAGCATGCCATTGCAGAGTTCAAAAATTCAAAGTTCAGTCGTAAGTTGAATGTCCTCATCAAGGGATGCCTGATTGACAGTCTGCGAAAAATAGTCACACCGTATTATCAACAATCATTTTAACAGCATCACGTGCACACACCAGTTTACCGTTCTATTTACTCACGGCGATCACTCACGGTGTCAAAATCATGTCCTTATTCACCTCTCAGCCCTCCATTCTCCTTTAGGCGCACTGCTGCTTGGTGACGTCAAATGTCATCGAAAGCGTCATGATGAAATGGAATTTTTTGATCGCCTAGCGCTCGTGATTGGTGCCGATAATAAAAATGAGTGATGCAAATGGGATGTGAACGCGCATTACACTTTTGGTTGCACTGGCAAGCTTGCCAGCCCCAATAACCCTCCCATCAAATGGACAAATGAGAGTGTTAGGCGGGCACTGAAATGGAAAGCCAACTGGAAATGATCATAACTAGGCTTTCTGTCTTAACCAGTGGACGTGATCCATTGTGAAAAGAAGCACCAATTTTCAGGGCATGAATGGGAAAATTTAGCAATACGAAGATGTGAAAAGTGGAAGTATTTAA